TAAATTTTTCAATTTTTTGGCAATTTTAATGATGTAACCCTTATCATTTTTTCAAAAATTGAAAAATTTCTAAAAATTTTATTTTCAACCAGACATGGCTAGATCGATTCAGCTGTTAATGCTGATCAAGAATATATATGATTTATGGGGTCGGAAATGATTCCTTCATATAGTTTTAAGCTTCCGACTGAAATTATAATACCCTCAAATCGGTATTTAAATTGAAATATTTACAACAATTTTATATGACAAATCGAAGGCTAAAAATGTCATAACTACGCTAAAAATGCATTAATTTTAATTCGGAAAACTTTTATTTGTTACTAATTATTGGTTTATAAATCTGCATACTCCTTTTTTGCGTTGCATACTTCAGACTGCAATTATGACACTCCCAAATGGCTATTTACATTTAAATATTTACTACAATTTTCCTCACAATTTTTACGACAAGTCAAAGAGTAAAACTTTCATAACTAAGCCAAAAATGCATTAATTTTAATTCGGAAAACGTTTATTTGTTACTAATTATTGGTTTATAAATCTGCATACTCCTTTTTGCGTTGCATATTTAGACTGAATTATGACACTCCCAAATGGGTATTTACATTTAAATATTTACTACATTTTTGCAAGACAATTTTTGCGACAAGTCAATCGGTAAAAATCTCATAACTAAGCCAAAAATGGGTTAAAATCAATTCGGAAAGCTGTCCTATGTTAGTTTTTATTAGGCTAATCAATCTGTATACTCAATTTGAAATTTAAATTTTTCAATTTTTTGCCAATTTTTGGCAATTTTAATGATGTAACCCCTTATCATTTTTTCAAAATTGAAAAATTTCTAAAAATTTTATTTTCAACCAGACATGGCTAGATCGATTCAGCTGTTAATGCTGATCAAGAATATATATGATTTATGGGTCGGAAATGATTCCTTCATATAGTTTTAAGCTTCCGACTGAAATTATAATACCCTCAAATCGGTATTTAAATTGAAATATTTACAACAATTTTATATGACAAATCGAAGGCTAAAAATGTCATAACTACGCTAAAAATGCATTAATTTTAATTCGGAAAACTTTTATTTGTTACTAATTATTGGTTTATAATCTGCATACTCCTTTTTGCGTTGCATACTTCAGACTGCAATTATGACACTCCCAAATGGCTATTTACATTTAAATATTTACTACAATTTTCCTCACAATTTTACGACAAGTCAAAGAGTAAAACTTTCATAACTAAGCCAAAAATGCATTAATTTTAATTCGGAAAACTTTATTTGTTACTAATTATTAGTTTATAAATCTGCATACTCCTTTTTGCGTTGCATATTTAAGACTGAATTATGACACTCCCAAATGGTATTTACATTTAAATATTTACTACATTTTGCAAGACAATTTTTGCGACAAGTCAATCGGTAAAAATCTCATAACTAAGCCAAAAATGGGTTAAAATCAATTCGGAAAGCTGTCCTATGTTAGTTTTTATTAGGCTAATCAATCTGTATACTCAATTTGAAATTTAAATTTTCAATTTTTTGCCAATTTTTGGCAATTTAATGATGTAACCCTTATCATTTTTTCAAAATTGAAAAATTTCTAAAAATTTTATTTTCAACCAGACATGGCTAGATCGATTCAGCTGTTAATGCTGATCAAGAATATATATGATTTAGGGTCGGAAATGATTCCTTCATATAGTTTAAGCTTCCGACTGAAATTATAATACCCTCAAATCGGTATTTAAATTGAAATATTACAACAATTTTATATGACAAATCGAAGGCTAAAATGTCATAACTACGCTAAAAATGCATTAATTTTAATTCGGAAAACTTTTATTTGTTACTAATTATTGGTTATAAATCTGCATACTCCTTTTTTGCGTTGCATACTTCAGACTGCAATTATGACACTCCCAAATGGCTATTTACATTTAAATATTTACTACAATTTTCCTCACAATTTTACGACAAGTCAAAGAGTAAAACTTTCATAACTAAGCCAAAAATGCATTAATTTTAATTCGGAAAACTTTATTGTTACTAATTATTCGTTTATAAATCTGCATACTCCTTTTTTGCGTTGCATATTTAAGACTGAAATTATGACACTCCCAAATGGGTATTTACATTTAAATATTTACTACATTTTTGCAAGACAATTTTTGCGACAAGTCAATCGGTAAAATCTCATAACTAAGCCAAAAATGGGTTAAAATCAATTCGGAAAGCTGTCCTATGTTAGTTTTATTAGGCTAATCAATCTGTATACTCAATTTGAAATTTTAAATTTTTCAATTTTTTGCCAATTTTTGGCAATTTTAATGATGTAACCCCTTATCATTTTTTCAAAAATTGAAAAATTTCTAAAAATTTTATTTTCAACCAGACATGGCTAGATCGATTCAGCTGTTAATGCTGATCAAGAATATATATGATTTATGGGGTCGGAAATGATTCCTTCATATAGTTTTAAGCTTCCGACTGAAATTATAATACCCTCAAATCGGTATTTAAATTGAAATATTTACAACAATTTTATATGACAAATCGAAGGCTAAAAATGTCATAACTACGCTAAAAATGCATTAATTTTAATTCGGAAAACTTTTATTTGTTACTAATTATTGGGTTTATAAATCTGCATACTCCTTTTTTGCGTTGCATACTTAAGACTGAAATTATGACACTCCCAAATGGGTATTTACATTTAAATATTTACTACATTTTTGCAAGACAATTTTTGCGACAAGTCAATCGGTAAAAATCTCATAACTAAGCCAAAAATGGGTTAAAATCAATTCGGAAAGCTGTCCTATGTTAGTTTTTATTAGGCTAATCAATCTGTATACTCAATTTGAAATTTTAAATTTTTCAATTTTTTGCCAATTTTGGCAATTTTAATGATGTAACCCCTTATCATTTTTTCAAAAATTGAAAAATTTCTAAAAATTTTATTTTCAACCAGACATGGCTAGATCGATTCAGCTGTTAATGCTGATCAAGAATATATATGATTTATGGGGTCGGAAATGATTCCTTCATATAGTTTTAAGCTTCCGACTGAAATTATAATACCCTCAAATCGGTATTTAAATTGAAATATTTACAACAATTTTATATGACAAATCGAAGGCTAAAAATGTCATAACTACGCTAAAAATGCATTAATTTTAATTCGGAAAACTTTTATTTGTTACTAATTATTGGGTTTATAAATCTGCATACTCCTTTTTTGCGTTGCATACTTCAGACTGCAATTATGACACTCCCAAATGGCTATTTACATTTAAATATTTACTACAATTTTCCTCACAATTTTTACGACAAGTCAAAGAGTAAAACTTTCATAACTAAGCCAAAAATGCATTAATTTTAATTCGGAAAACTTTATTTGTTACTAATTATTACGTTTATAAATCTGCATACTCCTTTTTTGCGTTGCATATTTAAGACTGAAATTATGACACTCCCAAATGGTATTTACATTTAAATATTTACTACATTTTGCAAGACAATTTTTGCGACAAGTCAATCGGTAAAAATCTCATAACTAAGCAAAAATGGGTTAAAATCAATTCGGAAAGCTGTCCTATGTTAGTTTTTATTAGGCTAATCAATCTGTATACTCAATTTGAAATTTTAAATTTTCAATTTTTGCCAATTTTTGGCAATTTTAATGATGTAACCCCTTATCATTTTTTAAAAATTGAAAAATTTCTAAAAATTTTATTTTCAACCAGACATGGCTAGATCGATTCAGCTGTTAATGCTGATCAAGAATATATATGATTTATGGGGTCGGAAATGATTCCTTCATATAGTTTTAAGCTTCCGACTGAAATTATAATACCCTCAAATCGGTATTTAAATTGAAATATTTACAACAATTTTATATGACAAATCGAAGGCTAAAAATGTCATAACTACGCTAAAAATGCATTAATTTTAATTCGGAAAACTTTTATTTGTTACTAATTATTGGTTTATAAATCTGCATACTCCTTTTTTGCGTTGCATATTAGACTGAATTATGACACTCCCAAATGGTATTACATTTAAATATTTACTACAATTTTCCTCACAATTTTTACGACAAGTCAAGAGTAAAACTTTCATAACTAAGCCAAAAATGATTCACATTTTAAGCTAAAATACATTTATTATTTTATATTCGGAAAACCTTTATTTGTTACTAATTATTGGTTTATTATAATCTGCTATTACTCCTTTTTTGCGTTGCATATTTAAGACTGAAATTATGACACTCCCAAATGGGTATTTACATTTAAATATTTACTACATTTTTGCAAGACAATTTTTGCGACAAGTCAATCGGTAAAAATCTCATAACTAAGCCAAAAATGGGTTAAAATCAATTCCGAAAGCTGTCCTATGTTAGTTTTCATTAGGCTAATCAATCTGTATACTCAATTTGAAATTTAAATTTTTCAATTTTTTGCCAATTTTTGGCAATTTTAATGATGTAACCCCTTATCATTTTTTCAAAAATTGAAAAATTTCTAAAAATTTTATTTTCAACCAGACATGGCTAGATCGATTCAGCTGTTAATGCTGATCAAGAATATATATGATTTAGGGGTCGGAAATGATTCCTTCATATAGTTTTAAGCTTCCGACTGAAATTATAATACCCTCAAACGGTATTTAAATTGAAATATTTACAACAATTTTATATGACAAATCGAAGGCTAAAATGTCATAACTACGCTAAAAATGCATTAATTTTAATTCGGAAAACTTTTATTTGTTACTAATTATTGGGTTTATTAATCTGCATAGTCCTTTTCCGTGTTACATAGTTCATGAATTTATGACACCTCCAAATGGGTATTTACGTTTAAATATTTACTAGAATTTTGAATAATTTTTGCGACAAGTCAAACGGTAAAAATTTCATAACTAAGCCATACTAATTATTGGGTTTATAAATTTGCATACTTTTTTAGCATAACAACTCAACGACTCGTCGCAATCGGGTTTTTTATTACTAAAATAGAATACACTTCAAACTGTCAGGCGATTGAACATTGAATTTGAACCTGTATTAAATCTTGTGGTATACAGAAAGTTCATTGGAATAAATGAATAAACTATGCGAGAAATAGGCAAAACTGAACTTAAACAAAACATACTAAAATAAGTGTATATATGATATATAGTTATATCCTAGAAATATGGATTTAAAATTGGCAACTACTTGAATCCCGCCTGGCTGGCCTTATTCACAATCATTTGCAAATTCTCGTGCAGCGTTTTGATTTGGTTATAGGTGTCCTCGTCCAGATTTTCCAACAGATTCGACTCGACCTCGTCGGCATCCAGTTTCTTGGGTCTCAGGCTGAGCACTCCGTTCCTTATGGGTATGTTCACATTGGCGAACTTGTCTGGCATCCTAACAGCCATAAGGAATATGCAATTTATAAAGTTATCTCGTATATCAAGAGAAATACTTACACTTGAGCCACCATGGGGCTGCCGAACTTGGAGAGCGCCACCTCGCCGGGCTTTGGATAGCGTAGGAATGCCATTGGCGGAGTCGAAGGCGACCCGGAGCGTATTTGCTTCTGTGCTAGTGGTGTGCGATCGGCACTGAAGGCCTTTGAGCGCGAAGCCATAGGTGTACGCATCTTGCTGCGCGAATGTCGAGTTCCTGTTGCCCCACTGGTGCTTGGCGGCGGCTTTGCCGAATGAAGGATATTAAGATCTCCGCAAGCGGACTGACTCCGGCGTGCACGACGGGCCCTGGCCGAGTGCAGGGGTCCGGGCGTACGCATGGCCTTCGTTGAGCGCAGCAGGGAGCCAGTGTGGGCAGCTAGGCTGCTGCCGCTGCTAGCCCCGAGGCTGCTGTCTTCTGTAAGGTAGCCTAGATATACAGTGGCCGGCACGTGATGTATGGTGGTGGTGGTGCAGGGTGAAAAGTGCAATGTGTGGAGTGTTAGAAAGCAAAGTTGAGTTAGTCACGAAGCCGGGCACCAGTTAGAAGAAAATTAAAAGGGCAAAAATTATAGCTAGATGTCATGGATGTGTCTTCGGTAGCTAAATGTTAAGTTACAGTCTATTCCAGGGCTGGGAAAAAGTTCCTTTACCAAATCCCGTACGTACCTTCATCATTACGACTACCAACGGCGGTGGCAGCGACGGCTGCATGTCCATCAGTGGTGTTGCAGCTCATGGACATGGAGGCTAACAGCTGCGTCTGATCGCTGGCCTTGAAGTCACTGAAGCGGTCCAGCTCGGCAAAAAGCTGCAGCATCTCGGGCACCTTCATGTCGGCCAGCTCACGCTGCACCTGGCCAAGCAGCGTCTTCACCTGGCTGTCGACGGTGGCCAAGTACTTGGACTCCAGCGTGTCGATGCTGATCAGGCGCGAGTCCATTTTCAACTCGTACAGACGCACCTTTTCCTCGCGGTTGGCCACCTCGCGGTTGCGCTTCGAGTTCTTTGGTATCTTGGTGCGCGGCATCTCGGCGGCGGCGGTAGTTTCGGGTTACTTGGTTTAATAAGTCGAATTACCTGGATTTTGTCTTTAATTGCGGGCTAGCGTCTGTTTTTTGTTGCTCTTAATGAAATTTTCCGCTTAAATTTAAGCGTCATCTGTCAATGTGACCAGAGGTTGTTATCGTAGATATGCCAAGTTTATCGGTGTTGTTATGATGTATCGATTGATGATCTATCGATTGTAAGAGATGATTTTTAGGGGTGGCAGCACGACAGATTGTCTTAAGTTTAAAACAGTCTGGTAACGACAAAAAACATTTCAAATATTTAAAAAAATCGTTATTATTTTAAATGAATGTTTTTAGTATAATAACAAGATATAAAAAGTCTAATCTGTTAGAGACTTAATAAACAGACAAATTTTAATTTAAATATATCAATGTTATTAAAAGGCTTCTTCTAATCATTATTTGGATGATTTATTTCAGTTTTGTGAAACAGACTGCTTCGCTTATCACGTTCCGAGTGGAATAGATAGCTTGAAAATTTAACTACTTTTTGCGGGAAATCCGCACAGGCACACCCTCTTTGGGCATCAAGGTAACTCCATTCGCGCCGAACTCAATTTCGCGCTTCTCCTTGCAGATTTCTAGTTCAAAATTGGACAGCATTTTGGCTACAGCTATTTTTACATTTACCTTTCCCATACGCAGGCCTAGAAAATTAAGATTAAGATTACTTACGAATGTCAATAATTTAATTCCCGAATGGATTTATTACCTATGCAGTGACGAGGACCCTCGCCAAAGGGCATATAAGCAGCCTGCTTGAAGTTCTTGTTCTCATCCAAATACCGTTCCGGCTGATAGCTGAGTGGATCGGGGAAGTACTCCGGATCCCGGTGCATTCCCATCAGGGATATCACAATGGGTGTGTCCTTCTTGATTACCAGCTTGCTATCCGGCACTTGATAATCCTGCGTGCAGACACGGTTCAGGATAGGCAAAGCGGGATATTTGCGAGCGGTTTCTGCAGAACGAAAGAGGTAACTATAATAAACCTTTCTAGTGAAGCTTCATTGACCGGCTTACCCATCACGCAGGCCTCCAAGTACTTCATATCCGAAATGGCATCGTAGGTCAGACCGCCGTGCTTCTCGATAGCTTGTCGTACGTCCTCCTGCGCCCTAACCATCACCTCCGGGTTTTGGGTGAGCTCGTACAGAGTGAATGAAGTTGTGCTGGCGGTGGTTTCGAATCCAGCGGCATAGAAGAGGAGCAGCTGTCCGGCAATATTGTCCTTGGACATCGACTTTACACCATGTTTTGAGCTTTCCGCCGTCCACACGTTGTCATCGGTGCTGATCTTTCCCTGATTTCGCAGCTGCAAGAGGAGCTGCAGCAGATCCTTGCGAACAATGTTGTTATTCTCCCGGAGATCCACGGTGCGATTGGATAGTTCCCTCATCCGTTCAAAGGCTTCCTGTTTCCATCCAATTCTCACGAAGAACTTCTCCAAGCTGATACAGGCATTTTGCTCAAATAGTTGTCACTTTTAACTATTTAAAATATAAGACTTACGCTGGATAAAGGAATGATGATGCGCCGCGAACAATGTCGGAAATGGTGTTGCGATTAACTAATTTACTGATTTGGAGAAATTCGTTTCCGGGATCTGCAAAACTGTCCACACCCAGTCCAAAAATAGTCGACGCAATTATATCAACGGCGTAGCTGGGGAGAAATATTGAGTGCAGCTATTAGTGTTAATCTCTTAGATAAGGTCCGGTAATTATGATAAGATTGAATGTAAAAATAATAATATATACATATTATATATTGCTTGCTAACTAAAATAAAAACAATTTTCAACAAACGAAACCATTTTCACTGTCTTCGTACAATCTAATCAATCTTATCTTGTTCCCCTGACCACCGCACCTACGTTGAAATAACGCTCTTTAGCTCCACTTCTTTGCTCCCGTTGTGGGGCAGTTGCTTCATCAAGTGGGCTATCAACTTATCGCCAACTGCATCAGAGGTCTCGAACATGGCTTTCAGCTTGCCGGAGGTCGCGCAGGTTTTTCCAGCTGGCTCCTTCAAGGGAGAACAGACCCGCCGACATCGGATCATTCTCCTCGTCCACATAAACGCCGCGATCGTGAAAGCTGGCAAAGTCCTTGACAAGGACATCGTGGGCCAGCTTTGCGTCACGGACCAAGAGGGCTGGCCTAATGGTGAGATACATTCCGATCACCGGCTCCTTTGTCGAGTTGTACAGATCATAATGGCCATGCCAAAGGATCGCTTCCTGCGCACGAGTCGCCGACAGCGCGAATATCGTACCCGCCGAGGGGAAACTCCTTGCGTCCAATGCTAGAACTGTCCCTGTCGAGGTAAACATATGAGGGTCGGCCGATCAACCGAAGGAATAGTCTACCCGAAACCTTGCGGTCCAATAGCTAAATGTCCATTGAGGTAAACATATAGAAGGGTTACGGCCCGATCACAGCACAATTCCGATCATTTTGCTAGCTCCGTCCGTTCTTCTTGCGTTGTGTTACCCGATTTATAGTCGCTAGGGGGAGTCTCAGCCGCAAATAATTTCACCATACCGACAGGTGATTACACTATCACAATGCCACTCGAGGCAGCAAATAAGTTTTTGAGGTAGTTAGGGTTTCATTAAAGATTCCCACAATACATAATTCCACGGTTGCAATGCGCTCTCTCAGTGTGACACGGCATTTCTTAAGCCTATTATCTCAGGTAATATTTCCTCTCCTTAGATCCTTAGACAACACTATTGATACGTTGGCTGATACGGTCAATAGGTTTTCGATAAGAAAATACCAATCGCATTTAGTTCGAGTCCCACACTCGCGGTACGCATGGAGCTGTCACGGTAAAAGCCACGTCGGACAAAATCACGTTGAAGTTTCACATCTTTAACCTTAATTTCAAAATATTTATATAAGTATAATCGAAACTTCTTTATTGCTCAAATAATTTCATGTTTCGCGGTAACTTTCATTGAGAAAAGTTTTTAAGAAGACTTAAGCAAAACGGGCTTAAGTATCGAACTTTGTGACCTTCTTTTCAGGCAACTGGCTGTCTATTTAAGATGGCCAAAAACGAGGAACTCACAAAAATTACAGCCACAATCCTATTAGCCGCCTCTATGGCTCTTTCTACGCCTCCGCACGCATAAATTGCATTTCTATCTCCATTGTTTGCTGTTTGCTATCTCTTCCTCTGCTAGTTGCACTTTGACGCACACACACAGTCGCAGGATTCTAATAAGAACCGAGTGTGTGTGGGAGGCAGGGTTGTGTGGGTGGGAGTGTGTCTGGGTGTGTTAGAGTGGCACACAAATCAAAAGCATTTTTGTCAGCATTTCGGTGGCTTCCGCCAGGGGCGGTGGTTGCAGGCGGGTGGGGGCGTGGCTTCAGCACGAAACGGGGACACATCCTGCGTGAGGCATTTGAAAATAATACGCATCGGAGGCTCTGCACTTGATAGTTTGCCTACGGTGCCTGCTCGTGCACACACTCTTTCCAGGAAAAGGCACAACCGAATCAAATACTGTACTTTAATACCCTTGAAGAGGGTTTTATTATAATAAGAAAATGTTTGTTCGAGTGTTAATATTAAACAAGAAAGAAAGCAACTTCGGCACGCCGAAGTTTATATACCCTTGCAGATAGAACTTCGATGACTAGAATCCATACAATAAAAATTACATATATTTCATTCACCTATACATATTATATTTGCAGTATATTACACAAAATTTAAGACTGATATAAAATGGCTATATCTAAATTTAGTGAAAATCAGCTGAAAACTGAAAACGTTATTTCTGAAACGTTCATTTCTTGACCGTTCCTATGGCAGTTAAATGAATTAGTAGTCCGATTTTCATATAACTTTACACAAAATTGTATAATAATATGAATCGGCTATATCTCAAATTTGATAAAAATCTGTTGAAAACTGGAAAAGTTATAATTTTTAATTGTATTAATTTCTCGATCGTTCCTATGGGAGCTATATGATATTGTAGTCCGATTTTCATAAAATTTTACACAAAATCGATTGCAGAGGAAAATATAATTTGTATCAGTGAAGGAGTCATTTCCGACCCTATAAATCATATAAATTCTTGATCAGCATTAAGTAATGGGGGGAAATTAATGAAAAATAAATTCATAGCTAGCACAACTTATTCTAGACCTAGGCCTGATCACTAATATAGCTTCTCTTAATGTTTAAAATATAATAATGATATATTTGTCAAAATAAAGACTTACCCCAGTAGAGGACACGTCATCTTTCGTCATTGCTTAATTCCTTCCGATGTAGAGTTATATTCCTGGTGAGTTAATTAAGTATCATCTTACGATATGGATTCATCGAAGTGTTCTTCTTTCACTATCACTGTAAGTGTAATTCCTTCCAGTATCGACTTATAATCGTGGTGACTTCAATTAGAATTATCATGGCATCGAAGATCTCTTCCTGTTTATCTGGATGTGTTCCATTGGCCACGTCATATATTTCAGGTCGAAGGGTAATCACTATCACTATCACTAAAGATGTTAACACTAGGTACCCCTAGGAAGACTGAGGTCGCGGCGATCAAAGAACCTCTATTTATACTTCCCGATCAATAATAACAGAGAAAGAGAGCGAGAGGGAAAGAGCTACCTCTGTAGCTACAACAGAGAGAGATAGAGCGTAAGCGCCATCTCTAGAGCTGCAACAGAGGGAGGCAACAGAGCTGCAACAGAGGGAGAGACATACCAAATGTTATTGTGAGTAAGAAAGAGAGCGAGAGGCAGAGGCTTACAGAGGCATACAGAAAGAGAGGGCGAGAGTAAGCTATTCACTGCCATTACAATATTATAATTATTATATTATTTTATATTTTTATATTAATGCATTAATAAGAAAGGAAGCTAACTTCGGCACGCCGAAGTTTATATACCCTTGCAGATAGCACTTCTATGACTAGGAATCCAAACAAATTATATATATATAAATTAATATATATTTGTGTTAAAAACAATGAAGTAATACCTACTTTGATTTCGTTCACCTATACATATTATATTTGCAGTTTTACATTCGCAGATTTGCATTTTTCCTCTACATAAAACGATCGTTTGTATGGCACCTATATGATATAGTCGTCCGATTTTCATGAAGTTTGACACAAAATTTAAGAATAATATAAAATGGCTATACCTCATTTGATGAAAATCTGTTGAAAACTAAAAAAGTTATAATTTTTGATTGTATTAATTTTTCGATCCTTCCAATGGGAGCTATATGATATAGTAATACGATATTAATAAAATTGTACACAAAATTGTAGAGTATAATAAAATGGCTATATCTAAAATTTGATCAAATTCTGTTTAAAACTGTTGAAAATGTTATAATTTTTTTTGTAAAAATTTTACGATCATTCCTATGGCAGCTATATGATGGCAGCTATCTGATGGCAGCTTTATCATATATATATGATCTGGCCCGTTCCGACATATATACGAGTGAGAGTATATAGAAGGCGAACTACAAAGTTTCATTCAGATAGCTTCAAAACTGAGAGACTAGTTTGCGTAGAAACGGACAGACGGACAGACGGACAGACGGACAGAAGGACAGACGGACAGACGGACAGACGGACATGGCTAGATCGACTCGGCTGTTGATCCTGATCAAGAATATATATAATTTATATAGTCGGAGGTGCCTCCTTCACTGCGTTGCAAACTTCTGACTGAAATTATAATACCCTGCAAGGGTATAAGAAAAAGAAATCTAGCTTCGGGGAATCAAAGTTTGTATACCCTTGTAGTGGAAAAACTTCATAACTAAGCCAAAAATGCATTAAATTCAATTCGGAAAACAGTTATATGTTACTAATTACTGGGTTTATAAATCTGCATACTCCTTTTCTGCGTTGCATATTTAAGACTGAAATTATGACACTCCCAAATGGGTATTTACATTTAAATATTTACTAAATTTTTGCATGACAATTTTTGCGACAAGTTAAACGGTAAAAACCTCATAACTAAGCCAAAAATGCGTTAAAATCAATTCGGAAAGCTGTCCTATGTTAGTTTTTATTAGGCTAATCAATCTGTAAACTTAATTTGAATCAATTTTTGGCAATTTTAATAATGTAACCCCTTATCATTTTTTCAAAAATTTAAAAATGTCTAAAAATTTTATTTTCAACCAGACATGGCTAGATCGATTCAGCTGTTAATGCTTATCAAGAATATATATGGAATGATTCCTTCATATCGTTTTAAGCTTCGACTGAAATTATAAAACCCTGGAAGGGTAGAAAAATACTGAACTTTAAACCCCTAAAGATATTTCCAATTCTCTCGTAAATGTAACTTAACTGTAAAGGATCAGAAAGAAGTATATTAAAATATACTTAAATTAGCTAGATGCACTCGTTTTAAATCCTGAATTAAAACTGATTTTGGGTCTTAACTTAATTTGAATATTTGATTTCTTATGCTGATTTTAAATTAAAAAAATTATTAAACAAAATATTTGTAATGTTATTTAATTATCTTATATTTACGTGTACCTTTTTTTGTAGTATTTATTTCAATTCGCAAGCACAAAATATGCTTCCTGAACTAGTTTCCTGATTAAGGATACAGATTTTCAGCGACTGTTCTGATTTCTCTGTGCAACATCACTGTCAGCGGTCTATGACAATTGCATAATTCGAGCATTTTGCTAATTAAGTTGTCAGATTAAAAGTTTTAATTGGCTTGTTGCTTGCGCTCATGCTCGTGTTCGTGCTCGCTTAAAGCCGCAAAGTGGATGAAGGATACAAGGGATAAAGGATAAAGGATGAAGGCTGCTGTCAAACGGCATTTGCAATCGATGGCAGCATCAATAGCACGGTGCCGGCAAAAGGATATATCCAGCCATCCATCCAACTATACATTCATCCATCCATCCACCATCCATCCATCCACCTATCCATTCATCCATCCGGGAGCAGATATTGCAGCAACACTGAAACTCAATTTGCGGCGACCAAACGATGCGTTAAGCATATAAAATGCAAAACGGAAGCGACGTTCATGGATAGATTACACACAACTACCTACAAATATGCAGCGTCCCTTTTGCAGGGCTTTTCCACCGCCGCTTTCCCCAACGCTTTTCCTGCGTGTCTGCAACTGTTGCATATTGCAGTGCGTACGCTGCCTTTATTGTCCTGATGTTAATGGAAACACCTGCTACATGGCGTAGAAGTCAGCGCCTGGAGTCCGTGAACGAGTGCCAGACATTGTCAGGGGATTCTGGCCGGGATTGAGGGGGTCGGAATTCAGCATTAACGCGCCCTTGGTGGCGCCCTTAAGCAGTGTCACTCTCTGTTGTCCCCTCCTTCTCCGGATGGCAGTCAACGGACGGAGAGTGATGCCTTCTGGGAGCGTTTGCAGGTAATGTTGGCTGGAAACCATTTTACAAAGTGCAAGAGGTAAAAGTGTTTCAGTGTCAACGCCTGATGATGATGACCAGATGCCCTGTCCCTGTCCCTGTCCAGGTGATTGCTGCTTATCTTAAATTCACTGATTACCTAAGCAGAAATGATGGATTTCTTTTTTATTTTACCATTAACAAGAAGGAAAACTAACCCTTGCAAGAGCAATTGTGTTATAAGATCCCATCGAAAATCTATTGTAGCATTCTTCTGACTAAAATTAAAATACCCTGCAAGAGTATTAAAATCGTATTCGTTTACTATATTATTACGTTACCTTGGCAGTTAGATCCTAATGATATATGTTTTCCAAAAATAATAATTGGTCTTGATGTATGTTCATGGGAAATTACCTTTATTTTTCCCGTGTCCGTGCAGTTAAGCCTGCCGAAGGGGGGACATGCAAGTGACGAAACTACCCCAAAAGTGCCCTGTGGCAATCATTAGAACTTTATGGCCTTTCGATATAATTTCCAACCCTCTCTAGCTTAATGAGCTCCATGCGGCCTGGCCGGGTTCAATTGAATTGTGCTCTGCAAGTTGGGCAAACCCAATTAAAATTTCCACTGTCCGTTTCGGGACGATAAGGAAAGAAAGGTCCGTTCGAAGACCTCCAATATTCCCCTCCCAATTTCTTTTACCACCCTTTTGGATACAGAGAAAAAATATGGATTAAGTATTGATATAGAAATCTGGTTATAAATTATACCTTATATATACCTTATATAACCTTTCGTTTAAATATGATATATTAAATATGAAACCTTATATAGGGATCATTTTTCTTAAGATTAGAGCTATTTCAAGCTATTCCCTTACCCTATTTATTTGTGTAGGAAATATTTATAAGCCACACTATTTTCTCTCTGCACAGGTGTCGCCTCTTCACAGCGTTCTTTTCACTCGTTCCTGGACACACGTTGCACTCGAACTCACTCAATGCGAGGGTGCAGTCCATTTCCACTCGTTCCTTGCTGCTCACAGAACGCCTTGGCGTATGCAGCATGTTTCAGTCGCTTGTGGAAGGCAGTTGCATTCGATTGCCCAGCACTTCAGCAGCAGCGGAAAAGCGGAAAAGCCGAAGGCGGAAAAGCGGAAACGCAAGGAGAGAGACGGGGAGACGAGGAATTGAGCAAGCACCATCGCTGGTTCGTTTCGACACATTTTCTTTAGTTTTCCTTTCCCGTTTTCCGTTCGGTTATTGTTGTTGGCCTTTGTTTATTAGTGCGTGTCTGAGCTGCGAGCGGTTTTTCGTAATTGAAACGAGAGCGACATAATTAAATTAAAATTTCCCCGCACACAGTGGCAGCGCACTAGCATCGATAGACGAGGCCCAACTAATCACATTACCAGCCATCAGCCATCAGCCACCAGGCATCAGCCGCCAGTCGTCAGTCGTCACTAGTCGTCAGTCGGAAACCGAGCAAACTCACAGTTCGCATTGCATAGTTTTTGGCGCGCTCCGAAATAAACACACCAGTACACACCAACACAAAGTCTTCTCCAAGCTCCTACTTCCGTGAGTGTGTGAGTGTGAGAGGTCGCCTATCCTGCAAAAGCGACCGAAAAATCATCAACTCTTGTGTCTGGTGAGTTGTCATAAAGACATTGAAATTGCTGGCAATAAACGGCAGAGCATAAGGCAAAAATTCGGGCAACATACCAAGTGTCTTGTCCATAATATTTGGTGTGAATGTGTATATGGGATCATAAACTTCAGACATCTGTTCATAAAAAGACTTTTAAAATGTTAAATCAGCGGCGATCGGTTCTAATTTCTTAGAAAGATAATTTTCATGAGTACAATATAACGACTTGTGGATAACCTTGCATAAATTTAGCCAAAGTCAAGGACTGCAAGTTTATCTATAAAGAAAATGTGTATAATTTTTTTATAGTTAAATGGGAAAAATGTGTCTGTTTGAGATATTACATTTAAAGTACATTTGTTTTTTGAAGCCTCCTTAAGTTAATATAATGAAAAGCTCTACATCAAAGCGTAATAAAAATTTCTCCGAATTTATCTGTATATTTACCTTTAAAATATTCTTTTCAATACAATACAATACAACATATTTGGTACTTATACATTTCCCTTCCACTTAATGTTCTCATTATTTGCCTGGCAAAATGATTTATCCATTATTGGGCCATTACCATGATGGCTTAAATATTTTTGTGTGATAATAACCTCTCTCCGGAGCCTTAAGTGGAAATTGCAATTTCAATTTCCTGCTCTTATAGCTGCTGTCTCTATAAACACCGATAAACCATTATTTCACAGGACAAGGGAAAGCGAAGGGGACAGGAAGTATTAAGCTGGGAACTTCCTTTGTCTTGCTTAATTTCGCTGTGGCCCGAAGTAAAATAAGTGAACCGGAATTGTCATTCACCCGGGGATCGATGAACCCATTCATAATCCGGACTCTACAACCTCCCACCCATTTATTATCCCTGCTCATCCTTGACCAGAACGCATCTGCGGTTAATGTGCGACAATTGTTCGATTTCCCTGCAATTGCAATTTACTGCTCTGTAATTATTTTACTTGCATGCATTAATGTGTTTTTCGCCCAACAACATCTGCAATTATGAGCATGCCTGACATTTTTCGTATTTACTATATACATTTTATATATATATATTTTTTTCCCAATTGAAAATCAATTTTGTAAATATTCCGTTGCCTCTTAAATGGGACAAATGGTTTTTTGTTTGCATGTGAAATTGGATGATTGAATTGTATGGGCATTAAATACGTGTTCTTTTACCTCTTTTTTCCAACCGATCCAACCCATTGAAAGTCGCCTGAGCCCTGCAATCACATTCGCTCACAATTCGGATTTGTCGCGCTTCAATTATAGTGGAAAATATTTGCATTCCGACGCATTGCACCCGAACGGGAGTGTTTGTCTACGTGCCATTCGAAGGATATCCCGTCGAGTCCTTTAGGTAGGGGACTTAACGCGGGGCTTTGCAATCGCAATTCGTATTTTGCATTCAGCATTTATGACCATTGTCCACGTTTTAAGCACCATTTCGAAATTATGCATGGTTCATTAAATATTTAATTAAATGCGCATAAAAATAAATACAACATAGCGTATACGTATTTACTTTTTGTTCATATGGCATTGCGTATACGTAATTTTTTTTTTATGTTCAAACAGCATAACGTATACGTATTTATTTTACGTGAACATTTTTTTGTCATCTCTGTATAATAAATAATAATTAATGGCATAACTAATGAAAATTCTCCTAGGGGAAAGTAGTGAAACTTATCTTCATAAATAATCAAATAAGTGAATCTCCCTCTCATTTTTTCTCTTCTTTTTCAATACAAGTATATATGTATGTATATGTGAAAAGAATCCCATTGGCTTTTCAATCTTATTAAATTTTACAAAAGCTTCTCCTGCTGCTGGTGGTAGTGTTGCATTTTCCCCTTGAGCCCGACAAGTGGAATATTCACTTTACAAAATCTGCCAACAAAAGCGTATACATAATTTAATAGAATATTATTTTCTGCTGAGACGGCACCCAGGCAGATGATGGCCAATGGCCGAGCCACAATAATGCATAGATAATGCGGTGGGCTGGAGATTTAGCTCGGCACCTAAACCCCCACAGTCATCCTGGCAGCCTCTCTTTTCTACCAGAGTTGGATGCATTTCCCGGGGCCTGCTGCTCCTGCTCCTGCTCCTGCGTCAACAAATTATAATTGTAAAGGCTGGGCTGCTGCTCCAGCCCGAGGCATGGGGTCAGTTTCAGCGTGCGTTTGCAAAAGTCATAAAGAGCCCTCCACTTTTTCCACGTTGCTGGCCGGGCATCGCCCGACAAGTACGGGACAAGTTGACATTTTTGGTCCGCGACTCCTGCTTTCCAGCACTTCTTTTCCTCTATTCTCTCTGTCCCGCAGAAAGTATGTTAATAAAAATTTTAATTTATCGCCAGGCATAAAAAGTGGTAAAGAGGCAGGCTGGGCGGGAGTTCCCCGGTTTTCCCCATTTTCCCCGCCTTTAAGCTACAAGGATATTTTCATATTTTCCTTTATTTATTTTCACTGTGTGCTTTAACACGCACAAAACGCGTTCGTTGCCATCGCCATCGTTGGAGTCCTCAATAACTGATACACTAGGGAAAATAGGGAAATAAATATAATGTATTTAAATTCCCTTTAAATATATATGATAAATGTTTACTGATAACTGGGAAGGGTCTTAAAGTTATACATACTCCATAAGCAACTTGCATATTAAGTTTTTATGAAATGAAAACTATCATTTGTCACATCTAACAATCTTCTTGCCAAACTTCTTGTATCATAATGTTTAAAAAATGAAATTTTAAACTACATTTTATCCAGAAATATCTATAATTATTTCTCCAAAACGATCACTTATTTTGTTAAGTACACTAGGGCCCTTGCAACACCCCCTGGTAATGCCCTCCGCCAATAATATTGACGGTGTCAGTGACGCCCTCGTCCACTTTGGAGTAACCTCCTCCATCCCGCCGAGCGGAAGGGGGAGCGCCTGCCTCATCGATAATAGTTTCAAGAGTTTTTCGGCCAAGCAAAAAGAAATGCACGCCAAGTGCCGTCTGCAGATCCCTCAGTACCTCAGTTTCCTCCAATAACAGACCCCCCAATACCATAAACCATCCTTGAACACAGAGACCGAACCCCCCAAACCCCTCGGAAAACTCAACGGAACGCGGGGGAGGCGTGGCAGAGAGGCGTCCACTTGAAAGTTCGATTTTCTGTATTGAAAATTGGCGTGCATTAGTTTCAGACTTTCCGAAGAGGTTCTATTCGGGGCGAAGAAGAGAGTGGCTGCATGGAATAGATGATGAGGATGAGGCTAAGGATGGTGGTTTACTATAGTCGATTTCACTTTGCATAGTATACCTTTTGGCGTGGCTTTAATTAGTGGCAGATCCTGCGGCTTGCAACAGTTTCTAACATTTTGCAGTGGAATTAGAGACTGGTTTTCCGAAGAGGATTACAAGCTGGAGTGTTTTGAAGCCGTGACTATAATAAAATACTTGAACATATTATGGAAGTTTCGAATTCATGGTTATATATTCTCGTTAGATACATGAAACCTGGCTTCAATCATTGTTAATCACATTTATGGCCCCTGATTTATACATTTTCTGATTTCCATTTGCCTAGATTAACTTTACCCAACGCTGACTGACGAGAATCAAATTCCATAAATAGGGTCTTTCGTCCGGCTGACTGCACACGTTTTTCCTCCAACTCTGCTCCTATATAGATATATATTTATATATATATAAATTGTGGTCTGAACATAAAACTTCACGCAAATAGGAAAGGGCCTGTAACTGGTGGCAATGTTGAATTGTGATGCGGAGCTCGTAAATTGAGCTGGCTAATAAACTCGTGTTGTTCAGTTGGCGCGTCGCATTATAAATAACACACACTGTGCGACACGACACGACACACGATGTTTAAATCCTGCTGGAAAACCAGTGTTGGACCCACGAAACCACTCCGCAAATGCGACTCCAAGCGGAAGTGCAGGCACAGAATAGGCTTCCCCTTCCGCCTTCCGGTTTCCGTGTGGTGTCTCCTTCCTCTCGTTCTCCCTCGCTCGCTCTCGCATCTCTCGCTTTCTCTTTCTCTAGTTGAAGTGCAGCGTAGCAGAAGTTTGATAAATTAAATTTTACAACCCTCGACCCGAATTGCGACATTTCGTGGTGTATTTTCCTTTTCTTTCTTAACCAACTATTAGAAAATGTAATAATAAAATATTTAATGACCGGTTCTTTGGTTCTTTGGGAGGGGCAAAGCAAACAGAGTCGTATGCGGGTTTTCGATAAATGTTGAATGACCAGGCGACGAAGGGTTCTATTTTTCTTTCTTTTTTTGTCAGGGTAAAAATGAAGAAAAACTTTCTAATGCGGTTAAAATAATTCCGACAGTATATATCAACAGAAAGTTGTGGGTCAATTGTTTGAAACGAGATTTAGGGATGATTAAAAACAAGAAAGAAAATTTATTTAGGTAGGCCAAAGCTATATACTCTTGCACTTTGCAGTTGAATTATAGGATCGGTGTTAACTAAGTATAAAATATTTGGATTTCTTGGAAACTATATTTTTATATGAAAAAATTTCCGACAAAACAAAGATTAAAATACTCATAACTAAGCCAAAAATGAGTTAAAATCAATTCGGAAAGCTGTCCTATGTTAGTTTTTATTAGGCTAATCAATCTGTATACTCAATTTGAAATTATAAATTTATGCTGTTAATGCTGATCAAGAATATATATGATTTATGGGGTCGGAAATGATTCCTTCATATAGTTTTAAGCTTCCGACTGAAATTGTAATACCCTTGCAAGGGTATTAAAATATATTATTGAGACTTCTGTAAAAATGCCAAACGATCGTTTGTATGGCACAGTCGTCCGATTTTCATGAAATTTTACACAAAATTTAAGACTAATATAAAATGGCTATACCTCAAACTTTATGAAAATCTGTTGAAAACTGAAAATGTTATAATTTTTTTTGTAAAAATTTTCCGGTCATTCCAATGGCAGCTATATGATATA